CGGGAGGGGGGTGACGTGAGACACACCAGAGGGGGCCGGACGGGGGGGCGGGGGGGGGGAGGGGCAGGGACCACCAGGGAGGGAGGAACCAGGAAAAGGGGGGGAGTAACCGGGGGACCACGGTGGGGAAAGCGGCGGTAGAAGGAGACGGACTCGTCAAAGGTGACGTCGCGAGAGTGAAAGAAGCGGTGAGACGGCGGGTGGTAGAAGTGCCAGTCGGACGCGTCAAGGGGGAAACCGAGGAAGACGCAGGGGAGGGTGCGGGCAGTGAGCTTGTCCGTGCCAGAGGCACGAACGTGAGCAAGGCAGCCCCAGACGCGGAACGCAGACGCGTCACCAGGGGACCCGGTCCACAGAAGGGTCGGCGAAACCTGTGGCCGCTGGGGGTGCGGCCACAGGTTAAGCTGGTGAGCGGCGTAGCGCACGGCGAACGGCCACAGAAAATGGGGTGCACCGGCGTGGATCATGGAGGTGCGAGCCACCTCCATGACCAAACCGATGCGTCGCTCAGCGACCCCATTCTGCTGCGGGGAGTCCGGCAGGGTAAACGTCTGGGTGATGCCCTCCGCACGACAGAAGCGACCAAGGACACCTGAGGCAAACTCGCCACCCCCGGTCGGAGTGAAGGCGCAAGGCAGGGAGACCGCGGTGGACACGAGCAGAGACAAGCCAGGGGATGAGAACGTCAGGCACGTCGGCCTTCCGCTCCAGGGGGAAGACGGTGGTGTAGCGCGTGAAGTCGTCGACAAGCACTAGGAAGAAGCGCTCGCGACGCGGCCCATGGACCGGGGCTGGGCCCCAGACGTCCATGTGCAGAGTCTGCAGTGGTGCGGTGGTAGGGGGAAAAGAGGAGGAGTGAGGGGCACGGCGGAGCCGGCCCTCGACACAAGGCGTGCACGGTGGGGCGGGGGAGGAGGGAAACTCGGGGAACGAACCGGGGAGACCAAGGACGAGACCGTGCTGGGACATGTGACGCAGACGTGGGAGTGCAGGGTGACCAAGGCGGTGGTGCCAAAGGAGAGTCGGGTGAGTGAGGGACCGACAGGAGCACGCGGCTGCAACCTGGGTGGACGCAACTACCGGGGGGGAAGACCCAGCCGGGGACGGCGCGGTGTCAAGTGTGAACAGGCCGAACACTGGGTCCCGGGGGAAAGTGGTAAGGGGGGCACCAGTGGCGGCCTCGGTACAGACAGCATACCGCTCGTGACCAGGGAACGTAGTGGTGACGCCAAGGTCCTGGAGGCAGCCGACACCAACTAGGTTCCTGGAGAACGAGGGGATATGCAGACCTGTGAGAGTGCCCGAAGGAACCGCCGGACAGGGAAGGGAGGTGGAACTGCGGGCAACGACGGGACCACCGGAGGGGTCAGCAAGAGTAACTGCAGCGGGAACAGGCAGCGGCGTCAGCGTCGTGGAGTCGCGGAAGAAACACCGGGAGGCGCCAGAGTCCAAGGTGAAGGAAAGCGCAGCAGTCGCGCGAGGCAGCAGTGAAGCGGTGGAAGCACCAAGGCTAAGCAAAGCAGGAGATCCTACGCCTGACGCAGCAGGGGAGTCTACGCTAGGCACCGCTACACTAGGCAACACGGGGTAATAAGAGGGAAGCACACTAGAGTCATCAGCATACATCACATGCAAGGCCGCTACAATGGCATCCATGTCCAAGTCAAAAATCCTAATGCTACGCCTAAGCAAGCTGTGCCAGTCCGGGAGGTCGGGCGCCGGGCCAAAGCGCTGGCGGAACAGGTCGTCCAGGCGACGAAAACAACGAGGAGTGGAATGACCGATCTTACCGCAAACAAAGCCGCGGCGAGGACCGGTCTGGATCTGGTACTGACAGGGCCCGCCTCCAGAACCACCACCCGGTGCACCACCACGCGCACGACCACCACCAGCTCCAGGCCACCCAGGTGGGAGAGTACTCGCCTGCCTCGTCTGCGGCGGCTGCTGCGGCTGCTGCGAAGGCTGCGGCTGCGGCGACTGCTGCTGCTGCGGCTGCTGCAACTGTGGAGGCAGCGGGGCAGCTAGACCGGGCAGGGTCCCCACGTCCGCACTGGCACCAAACGACCCGCCTCCACCACTACCCCCACCCGCACCCCCGCCGCCTCCGCCGCTCCCAACCTTGGGGCGGCGGCCCTTCGCCGAGCGGGACTGCACTGCAGCAGCAGTCTCAGCCACAGCGACAGAGCCGTCGGAGAAGGTACACTGAGCGGGGGCACAACCCTGAAAGATAGGGACCGGTACTGTACCGCTCGCCAGGGCTATGGAGCGGTGACGAGTCTCTATGGCAGTCAGGGTGTCAACAAATTCGGTGAGGGTGAGAGCAGCAGGGTGGATGCTAAGGAACTGGTCGCGGGCGGCGGCAAGGCGGTCAGGTAGGCGGGTGGCAAGGAGGTAGAGGGTAGAGGTCATGGGAGGCTGGTGGACTCTAAGCTGAGCATCAGTGCAGGCAGCGCACCAGGCCTCATCTATCAAGCGCAGGTGGGCAGCGAGGTCAGAGACAGTGGGGAAAGACGCCAGGTCAGGAAAGAGCAGGGGAAGGATCAGGCGACCCACTGAGGCAGCAGGAGGGGTAGAATAGCGCTTGATGACAGCATCGAGGTAGGCCTGGGCGGTAGGAATGGTTCTAAAGCGAGGGCGCTTAGTGGGGGGGAGGGCATTGCTAATGGCGAGCTGAGCAAGGGCATCGCGGGAAAGCCAGACAGAGCGGGCAAGGGCAGCAGCGGCAATGGACTCGCGCTCAGCGGGCGTGGGATCAGCGGGCAGCACAGCAGGGGGGTCAGGGCAGGGGAGCATACCGTCTAGGTGTGCAGAAAGCGGGTGGCCGTCCTGCCGCTGGCCAGTGAGGTGGCGGCGAAGGTCAGCCAACCACGCCTCGAACTCCAGAGGCTGACCCTCAACATCAAAACAAAGCTCAGCAGCCATGAGGGGCAGTGGAGGACAGTGCAGTGCGGTGCAGTGCGATGCAGTGCGGTGCAGTGCGGTCCAGTGCGGTGCAGTGCGGTGCAGTGCGGTCCAGTGCGGTGCAGTGCGGTCAGTGCGGTTCAGTGAGGTGCAATGCGATGCAAGGCGGGGCAGGAAAGTGCAGGAGGGTGCAAAGTGGTGCGGGGAACGGGGGACAGTACCAGGAAGTATGGAGGGCCGGGGCAGGTGCGTCGGGGCCGGGCAGGCACGACAAGGCCGGGCGGCGGCGACGGGGCCGGGCGGCTGCGACGGGGCCGGGCGGCGGCGACGGGGCCGGGCGGCAGCGACAAGGCCGGGCGGCTGCGACGTGGCCGGGCGGCTGCGACGGGGCCGGGCGGCTGCGACGGGGCCGGGCGGCAGGGACGAGGCCGGGCCGGACACAGCAGGGCCGGGCAGGGGCGACGGGGCCGGGCGGCTGCGACGTGGCCGGGCGGCTGCGACGTGGCCGGGCGGCTGCGACGTGGCCGGGCGGCTGCGACGGGGCCGGGCGGCTGCGACGGGGCCGGGCGGCGGCGACGGGGCCGGGCGGCAGGGACGGGGCCCGGGCAGGCCACAGCAGGGCCGGGCAGGGGCGACGGGGCCGGGCGGGCGAGCAGGGGCCGGGCAGGTGCGACAGGGGCCGGGCAGCCGCGACAGGGGCCGGGCGGGCGCCACGCGGCCGATAGGCCGCGACGGGGCCGAGCAGGGGCGACGGGGCCGAGCAGGGGCGACGGGGCCGAGCAGGGGCGACGGGGATGGGTAGGGGCGCGACGGGGCCTGAAGGGGCGTTACCAAGCCCAGGTAGGGGCGCGACGGGGCCTGGGGGGAGCGCAATGGGGCCCAGGAGGGGCGCTACGGGGCCTGGGAGGAGCGCGACGGGGCTAGGGAGGGGCGCGACGGGGCCTGGGAGGAGCGCAATGGGGCCCAGGAGGGGCGCTACGGGGCCTGGGAGGAGCGCGACGGGGCCCTGGAGGGGCGCTACCAGGCCCTGGAAGGGGCGTGACGGGGCCTGGAGGGGCGCTACGAAGCCCTGAAAGGGGCGCGACGGGGCCTGGAGGGGCGCTACGAAGCCCTGGAAGGGGCGCGACGGGGCCTGGGAGGAGCGCAATGGGGCCCAGGAGGGGCGCTACGAGGCCTGGGAGGAGCGCGACGGGGCCCAGAAAGGGGCGCAACGGGGCCCAGGAAGGGGCGCGACGGGGCTAGGGAGGGTCGCGACGGGGCTAGGGAGGGTCGCGACGGGGCTAGGAGCACGACGGGGCCCAGCTAGGGGGCGAGCGGAAGCGTGAGGGGGGGGGGGGGGGGGGGGGGATCCTACCTACGCGTGATACCATAACAAACAGTGAAATTGATGAATAGAGAGAGAGAGTACACAAACATATACCTAACTGTTGTACTCTCTAGAAGATGACCCTATACAGTCTATACAAGCATGATAACTAAACATGTTTGACACCCGGCTGGTGCAAAAAAAAAACTCGCCCCCCGTAATTATTACAGTCGTTTGGTTGTTGGGCTGCCTCGAGCAGGAAATCTGCCCAAAATGGGCGGGGGTTACGTCTACTGACAATTCATAGAAATGTTTACCAGCGGTCACTAACTAACCGTGGAACCCGACTGACTAGCCGTGTGACGAACTCACTAATTCTGATGGTTTATAGCGTTCCACTGACCGTACGTAGCACGGACCCTAATACCGTACTGAGCGCGGATGTACTTTCCCTTTTTTTATGAACTGCCACTATCTAGGCTAGGGGGTGTGTCAACAAATATATTTATGTAGCTCAGCCAGGTCATATTTGTTTATAACTTAGCTAGTTTATTTCTTAGTGAGTACAACCCTAATTTTTGTTTCCCTCTACCTTTTCCCTTAGACACAACTTTCCCAGCTACTCTAACAACTTGATACACCCCCTAACAGAGGGGTAGAAGAGTCTTTTAGGGCGTGTCCAGCGCATAGGATTGATTACTGTTTGGTAAGATTCACTGCGATTCATTTCAGTGAAGTGATTATAGCGATCTGAAACAGTTGGATTGGGCTTTGAGCGAGAAGCGTACACGCAGGACACGCCCTTAGCATAACAGGCCGCCCATTGAAGTGCTGTAGGAGGGCACGTATTATAGTAAATAGCACTAAGAAGCGCAATCATGTACAGCATGTTGGGCTACTTGAGACTATCCATAACACACACATAGTACTTACTATTAGCCCTAATTTCAGCGGCAGTGTAGTAGTCCTAGTCAGTGTAAGTGACATCCGCCTGGCTCCTAAGGAAAGCAGGAACCTGGTCAAAGGGGATGCCCTCCAACCGCGACACCTGCAGCAAGCAAACAGGGGGGTGCACAGACAGACACATAGACGCATAACCCATCATTGCACACCAATATTTTTTTGTTGGAGGCATGCCCCATGCCCCATGCCCCCATGCCCCCATGCCCCCATGCCCCCATGCCCCCATGCCCCCATGCCCCCATGCCCCCATGCCCCCCATGCCCCCATGCCCCCATGCCCCCATGCCCCCATGCCCCCATGCCCCCATGCCCCCATGCCCCCATGCCCCCATGCCCCCATGCCCCCATGCCCCCATGCCCCCATGCCCCCATGCCCCCATGCCCCCATGCCCCCATGCCCCCATGCCCCATGCCCCCATGCCCCCATGCCCCCATGCCCCCATGCCCCCATGCCCCCCATGCCCCCATGCCCCCATGCCCCCATGCCCCCATGCCCCCATGCCCCCATGCCCCCATGCCCCCATGCCCCATGCCTCAGCTCACCTCCTCCTGCACCACGTTCCACTTGAAGTCCTGCAGGGAGCGCTCGCCGAACTTGGCCCACGTCACACTGGCTGCCACCTGCACACGGGATGGCAGTGATGCGAAGGGGGGGCGAGAAAGAGAGGGGAGGGGATAACAGGTGGGGAAACAGTTTGCAGGTTGCAGGTTACAGGCTGCACCACAGAATGGTAGCACGCTCCCAGTGCTCGGGTCACAGGCCACGGGTGACAGGTGATGGGTGACAGGTGCTGGGTTACAGGCCGTAGCTTTGGAGCCAGCATAGCATGGCACAGACAGACGTGCCTGTCACAGCAGTAGAGAGACAGGAGGTTGGGAGGGGAAGAAGCAGCACCGGGGGCTGGCTGACCTTCTCAACGTCGGCGTCGGACGAGGCCATGAGTGCGGCTTTGATCTGCGCGTCCAGCACATCGTTGCTCTTACGCTCCTCCACTGCCGCCAGCTGCTGCTCTATCTCCGCCCTGCTCCATGCACACACGCACACACAGGCAAAGGCACACACGCACAAAGGCAGAGGGATGGGAGATGCGCGGGAGAGGCAGCAGTTTAGCTTACGTACAAAGGTTCAGGGCAGAAGGTGAATGCGAGGAAAGGAGAGAGGTGGCTGTATCAGCCAGCAAGTGATGCATGACCGTAGCTTTGTGAACCATGGGTAAGCCACCATTGAGTTGGCTTGGCTCCAAGCTTTAATGGTCGTTTATGGCGCACATGCGAGGGGGGATTGGAGCACTGCGGTGTGGGGTGATTTACGTCTCACTTGAGGAGCGGGCAGAAGAGTGAGGTGTGGGGCACAGAGTGTGGGCCACAGAATGTGGGGCACAGAGTGTGGGGCACAGAGTGTGGGGCACAGAGTGTGGGGCGCAGAGTGCAGCGCGCAGAGTGCAGCGCACAGAGTGCGCGGCACAGAGTGTGGGGCACACAGTGTGGGGCACAGGGTGTGTGTGGGGCACAGGGTGTGTGTGGGGCACAGAGAGTGGGGTACAGGGTGCGGTACACAGAGAGCGGGGCACAGAGTGAGGGGCACAGAGTGTGGGGCACAGAGCGTGGGGCACAGAGCGCGGGGCACAGAGCGCGGGGCACAGAGCGCGGGGCACAGAGCGTGGGGCAAAGAGAGGGGGGCACAGGGAGTGGTGGGTGCAGTGCACTGACCGCTGCAGGTCGACGGGGCGGGGGTCCTTCTCGATCTCCTTCTTGATGCCGATCTCCTTCACCGTCACTGTGAACTGCGCCCTGGGGCGGTGCAAGGAGTTGCATGGGGGTGCATGGGGGTGCATGGGGGTGCACACAGAGAGCCAACACAGGGAGGGATGAAGGGGGAATCAAGGGGGGAAGACGGGGGGGGGGGAGACGGGTGGTGATGAGGTGCGGTTCTGGGAGGATAAGGGCAGGGCAAGACAGCATGAAACGGAGGATGCTGCTGAGCTTGTGCTGCTGATGAGAACTCGGGATCATTACAAGTGGTTAAGCGGAGTGCAGGGTGGAGTGCAGGGTGGAGTGCAGGGTGGAGTGCAGGGTGGAGTGCAGGGTGAAATCCAGAGTGCAATTCAGGGAAGAGAGTGGTGGGGGTGGCACGCACTTGACGCCAGCGAGAGCCTTGGCCTTGTAGTCTGCTGGGAAGGTGAGCACGAACGTCTTGCTCTCCTCCTGCCATGCAGCACACGCAAGCGCACGCACAAGGCAATGGACGCGTAGGGTGACGGGTGACCGGGGGGAAGGGAGAGAGAAGGGAGATGAGACAAGGGAGATGAGACAAGGGAGATGAGACAAGGAAAGGGGACACGTTTAAACGGCAATCGATGACCTGTGCAGTGCCCAACCTGCACTGTACGCCTAAGACCACCAGTGGCCGCAACTACCTCCCTCTCCTCTCCCAACCCATTCACGGTCCCCATAACCCCCCACTCCATGCCCTGCCGCATGCCCCCTGCGTTCCTCTCTCCCCCTCCCTCACCTGCCCCACCCATGCCCTCCCCCTCCCGTCCTCACCTGCCCCATGCCCTGTTTCACGATCTGCTCGACGAACGTCTTCCACGGCTCGTCGTCGCGCGCCGCCAGGTGAAGCTCGTACCCCGCCGCCTTGGTGCCCTTCACCAGCTGCCCCGCCTGCGGCCCGTCCGCGTACTTGCCCTCGAAGTTGATCTTCACCTGCGCCGCCGCGCGCCCATGGGGAAGAGAATTGGGGGCACATGCGGCACAGCAGGGAGGGGGGGGGAGGGGGGGAGGGGGGGGGGTGGAGGAGGGGAGAGAGGAACGGGGGAAGGAGAGGGGAGAAGTTCAGTGCGATGGACATGCTCGCGAATGAGAGCGGGGCTCGTGGGTATTCTTGAGAGGGATTTTGACTTCGCGCGTGTTCTTGCCTGGCTGTTAGACAACCCGGCTTCCTGTCGGTTTACCCATCTACACCCCGGCTTGTCGGAGCACGAGCACTGACCGTGTGGCCGAGCTTGGCGCCCGAGCCCGTGAAGTTGGTGCGCTCGAACTCGTGCGTCTTGTCCAGCTTCGCCTTCAGCGCCTGCAGCACGCGCGCAGGTAGCAGGCGGGGGAGCGGGGAGAATGGGGCATGGGGCATGGGGCATGGGAACAGGGAACAGGGAACGGCACATGCAGAAAAAGAGGCGCGGGATTCTGTTATGCTCAAAACCGCCGGCTATCTTTGGAGGAGCCCCAAGAAAAATTAGCAGGAGAAAACGCGATGGAAAAGGGACGAGGGGAGGAGCCAGCAGCGAGTGAGAGGCAGAGTGACAGCAGCGAATTCACGAAGCGGAGGGGGGAGGGGAGATACGGCGAAGGAAACGCTCACCTTGTCAACAGCCTCTTGAGACACCTGCAAGGGGCGGTGCAGAGGCGCAAGGACAGGCAACACACGGGAATAAAGACGGGTTAGGGACGGCCAGCCGCGACAGCACAGCGAGTGCGGAGCTGGTGTGGGACATGCACGGCAGAAGCGGGTGGCGGATAGAAAGGATCAGGGGCTCTAAGTGAGAGGGGATTCAAGGGAGAGAGGGGAGTGCAGTGCGGTACCTTGGGGCGGGGCGCGGTGGCCTTGATGGCCTTGTTGGTGTACGGCCCCAGCGTGATGTTCACCTTCTGCTCCGTGCGCAGCTCCTGCGCCACCACGCGCACTGCGCCCCCCGCCGTCCGCCGCTGCCCCGCCTCGCGAGCCACCGGCAGGAGAGCCTGCGGTGCGCGGGAGGGACGGGCGGGAGGGAGGGGACGAATGGGAGTGGGGAATCGGGAGACGGGGGATTCGCCGGAATGCAGGATGCGACCTGAAGGAAGGGCGATTCGCAGTGACGGAAAGAGACGGATGTGATATTGTGGGATGTGGGGGAGAATGAATGAGGACTAATGGTGGAGGGAGACTCACGCGGGAGCTCTGAGTGAGGCCGCACGAGCGGGAGAAGGAGAGCGACGCGCTGCGAGCGCCGGCCACGGACGCCCGCTGCGACGATTGCCGCGGCGAGGGGCCGGTGAGTCCCTGCGAAGCGACGGCGCGTTCCGCGACGGAGGCAACCATTCTCGTGGCGGCCATGGCTGATGCGGTGAGTAGAGTAGACTTCAACAAAACGCCGTAGAACGAAACTGGGAGTGAGATGAGAGAGCACACACGGCGTGTTGTGAATTGTGGTGTGGAAGGTGCTGCTTGCTCCTCGTTCTCCCATCCCCTGTGATTCAAGCACGGGGAAACTGGGCGCTGACGTGGCGGAAATCCATTACCCAGCCGACAATCGTCCAACGTGGACAGCCCCGCAGTTGGGTTCAGCCCCAGGTTCATGGGCCAGCCCAGGGCTTGCCGTGCTGGTGGGCTGGCTGAAAAGCTGCTGGAACGCCATTCGGTAGCGGGATTTTCACTACAGTGATGAGGAATTCTTATCCAAGCGAAATGAATTTCGTGCATGCACTACTTGGTTGCGAGGCCTGACGAAATCTCAAGTAACCGGGTTGGAGTTACAAGGTTCCTATACCGAGCAGGCTCTCCACGTCACCCTGCCGAGCCAGAAAGCACTTGGCACTTTGTTCGAGTCTCGTCATCTGGCACGGAATCCGCGTCATTGTTCAATGGAGCCTTCGTGAAGCGACACGTCTGCACAAATCACAGCACACATAGTACAGAACAATACAAGGGACCTGAGGGAACTGGGGCGTGGTGGCATCGCTGGTCTTCGTGTTCCTTCGCTTTTTGCACCGACAACACAACGACCTGCCACCAAGTCTAGCAGCTTCCCTGTGAGCGATATGACTTTTGGCTGCAGTTCTTTGTTCCTTTAGAAGCGTTTACTGCACCCGGCCGTGATTGCGCGACGAGCTCTGCAAGAACTGCTTGACGAATCGGCATCGTCGCACTGTGTCGCACAGCCAAGAGGTCGCCAGGTGCTTCTTCACTCGAACAACTAAGCGGCAGGTCGAGAGCGGGTTACCGAATTTCGTCACTTTCGCCATGTCCTGCCCGTTTCTCGCGGCGGCAGCAGCGTCCGGCGATGCCAGTAACGACGCGAGTCGTCCTACAGGAGGCTGCCCTTTCGCCAAGCGCTTCGCTCTCCTCGGCTCATCCCCAAACGACCCAGCGTCGCAGCGAGAGTCGCCCACTGAAGCAGCGATAGCGGCAGCAGCCACAGACGGCACAAGCGAAGTCGTGAGGAAAATAGGGGAAGGCGATAGCGGGAGAGAAAACAATTCCGGGTCTCTTCATTCTGCTGAGCATGCGGTTAAGGGGCGCGCGGACAGCAGCGGGGCTGCGCATGGAGGGGATGGGGGGGAGGAGAGCGGGCGGAAGGCGGGCGCGGGGCGGTGCCCGTTCGGATTCGATTCCGCGGCGGACGGGCGGATGGCGGCAGCTGTGGGACCGATGAGCTGCGTGCTGTGCAAGGCGCTGCTCTTCGACCCCGCGCGCTGCGACCCGTGCAAGCACGTCTACTGCAGGTGAGAAGGGGGGGGGTGCGGGGATGGTTCAGGGTGGGAGGGCGTGAGGAGAGGGGAAGGGAAGGGGGGGGCGGGGTGCTTATAAATGTGTGGTGGATATTATGAAGAATTGCACGCGCTGTGATGAGATGAGATGCGATGAGATGAGATGAGATGAGATGAGATGAGATGAGATGAGATGAGATGAGATGCGATGAGATGAGATGAGATGAGATGAGATGCGATGAGATGAGATGCGATGAGATGAGATGAGATGAGATGAGATGCGATGAGATGAGATGCGATGCGATGAGATGAGATGAGATGAGATGAGATGAGATGAGATGAGATGTGTTGCGGGGTTCGCCCTAGGGTTGTTACATGCTGGCTGGTTCAGCCAAGGCCTATTTCAGCCACCCTTTCGTCTCTCTCTCCGTGACCTCACTGGCAGGGACTGCATAGCTCGCTTCAACGACTGTCCTCTGTGTGGCTCCGACGTCAAGGGCCTCCTGCCCGACGCTGCTCTCGCGCATGCCGTTGATTCGTTCATCACCGCGCACGTCCTCTCCCGCCCCGCCGCGCACCCGGTGCCCGTGGACGACGCTGCACCGGGTGCTCCTCGTGTGCAGGAAGCACGGAAGCCTGACGCACCTGCATCTTCTGGTGCAAATGCGGCTGCTGCAGATGCCTCGGCGACAGATGCAGCAGTAGCAGCAGCGGCAGCGGCGGCGGCAGAAAGGGAGGCGGAGGCAGCGAGGGTGGAGATGGAAGCACTGGATCTGGACAGGGCGAGCCCCGGCAGCTTCCTCTTCATCCACGCCATGCGGGTACGCTGCTGCTGCCTGCTGGGTGCCCATGGGTGCTGGGTGCTGATGGCTGCTGCTGGGTGCTGATGGGTGCTGGGTGCTGATGGGTGCTGGGTGCTGGGTGCTGATGGGTGCTGCTGGCTGCTGCTGGCTGTTGCTGGCTGCTGCTCGCTGCTGCTTGCTGATGCTCCCTGCTGTTCGCTGCTGCTCGCTGCTGCTCGCTGCTGCTGGCTGCTGCTCGCTGCTGCTGGCTGCTGCTGGCTGTTGCTGGCTGCTGCTCGCTGCTGCTCGCTGCTGGTCGCTGCTACTTGCTGATGCTCCCTGCTGTTCGCTGCTGCTCGCGGCTGCTCGCTGCTGCTGGCTGCTTCTGGCTGCTTCTGGCTGCTGCTGGCTGCTGCTAGCTGCTGCTGGCTTCTGCTCGCTGCTGCTGGCTACTGCTCGCTGCTGCTCGCTGCTGCTGGCTGCTGCTCGCTGCTGCTGGCGGCTGCTGGCTGCTGCTGGCTGCTGCTGGCTGCTGCTGGCTGCTGCTGGCTGCTGCTGGCTACTGCTGGCTGCTGCTCGCTGCTGCTCGCTGTTGCTGGCTGCTCCTGGCTGCTGCTCTCTGCTGCTGGCTGCTGCTCGCTGCTGCTCGCTGCTGCTCCCTGCTGTTCGCTGCTGCTCGCTGCTGCTTGCTGCTGCTGGCTGCTGCTGGCTGCTGCTCGCTGCTGCTCGCTGCTGCTGGCTGCTGCTCGCTGCTGCTCGCTGCTGCTGGCTGCTGCTCGCTGCTGCTGGCTGCTGCTGGCTGCTGCTGGCTGCTGGCTGCTGCGGGCTGCTGCTCGCTGCTGGATGCTGCTGGCAGCTGCTCGCTGCTGCTCGCTGCTGCTCGCTGCTGATCTCTGCTGCTGGCTGCTGCTCGCTGCTGCTCGCTGCTGGCTGCTGCTGGCTGCTGCTCGCTGCTGCTCGCTGCTGCTGGCTGCTGCTGGCTGCTGCTCGCTGCTGCTGGCTGCTGCTGGCTGTTGCTGGCTGCTGGTCGCTGCTGCTTGCTGATGCTCCCTGCTGTTCGCTGCTGCTCGCGGCTGCTCGCTGCTGCTGGCTGCTTCTGGCTGCTTCTGGCTGCTGCTGGCTGCTGCTGGCTGCTGCTGGCTGCTGCTGGCTGCTGCTCGTTGCTGCTGGCTGCTGCTCGCTGCTGCTGGCTGCTGCTGGCTGCTGCTAGCTGCTGCTCGCTGCTGCTCGCTGCTGCTCGCTGCTGCTCGCTGCTGCCGGCTGCTGCTGGCTGCTGCTGGCTGCTTCTCGCTGCTGGCTGCTGCTCGCTGCGGCTGCTGCTCGCTGCGGCTGCTGCTCGCTGCTGCTGGCTGCTGCTGGCTGCTGCTCGCTGCTGGCTGCTGCGGGCTGCTGCTGGATGCTGCTGGCTGCTGCTGGCAGCTGCTCGCTGCTGCTCGCTGCTCGCGGCTGCTGGCTGCTGCTGGCAGCTGCTCGCTGCTGCTCGCTGCTGGCTGCTGCGGGCTGCTGCTGGCTGCTGCTGGCTGCTGCTGGCTGCTGCTCGCCGCTTCTGGCTGCTGCTGGCTGCTGCTCGATGCTGCTCGCTGCTGCTCGGTACTGCTGGCTGCTGCTCGGTGCTGCTTGCTGCTGCTTGCTGCTGCGGGCTGCTGCTCGCTGCTACTGGCTGCTCGGGACGCGAGGAGGAGGGCGGCTTTAGCGAAGAGTCGGTGGAGGCACTCTCCCACTGCGATGGGTCGAGACCTCCCCCTGGTTTGGTGAATGCGAGGAGGCGGGAGGAGGTGAGTAGGTCCTCGGCGTCGCGGCAGAGGCGGCCGGCTAGTGCGTGATTGCAGAACGTACGCAGGTGGGCTACGATGTCCGAGTTGGCGAGGGCGGCTGCGCGGATGTGCTCAAAAGTGGTCCCTGAAGGACCTGCTCCAACTCCGTTAGGGAGCTGTGAGATGAGCCTTCGAAGGCTCTTGTGGGAGATGGAGGGGGTCTCCTCTGGGGTGTGAGAGGCAAGCCACGCAGGCAGGGGGAGTTTTGCAGAGGGATGTTTGGAGTGTAGAGCCTGGAGTGTATCCTCATTTGTCGGGCTGACCGGGGTGGCTTCCAATGCTTGGACAGCCTTGCGTAGATTCCCACGCTTAGTGAGGTACTCAGCACGGGCCACTGTGCCAGTGTTGTCTGGGTTGTGGCGGGGGGGGGGGGGGGGGTTTGGCAGTGTAGTGGCTGTTGTTGCTTCGGTGTACAGCTCCCCCCCAAAGACCCCGCTGGAATTTGTCCAGGCGGCCCGAGATTGCCTTCCCGGCAGCTTGGCGGTTACTGTTCTACCTCCCACGCTTGATCCTGCGAGGGAGTTGGGCGTAAATTGTTTGATGGGCGGTCCGGGCGCGTCGACATCGGTCCGATGTCGATTGGAAGCAGCTCGGGGCTGGTTGGGTGCGCCTCGCCGGTGAGCACCAATCCCTTCATCTCCGCTTTGCTCCACCCCACCCAGGCTCGCCTCAGAATACCCTTTGCAGAGAGGGTATAATTGGAGCAGCTCGTCTCCTCCCCAGCAGTGTCTCTAGCAGCCTCCTCCCTTAGCGAAAAACTCGGAGCTCCCGCGCCTTCCGCTCTCTCAGCTTCCCCGGCTCCTCCGGCTAGCCGACGACGCACCGCGCGTACAACCAACCCCGGTTTAGGCGCTCCACCGTGACCTGCCCACGCGTTCGAGTAGCTCGGCGGGATCCTCCCGCGCGTTCGCCTGCCGCCCCCCCGTCCTCGTCCCCTTGTCGCGCCGCCGAGAGGGACCCTCGTGTCAAACTGCGGACCGATCCCAGGCGAGAGCCGTCGGTCCAGCGCAACTTGACGTCGCGCCGATGGCCCCTCGCCTCTATGGTCGGGAGCGCTCGCCGTCGCGGCCGCACGGGCAGGCTCGCTCGCCCGCGCCTCGCGGGTACCGTTTGTCCCCCTCCCCCGCTCTCTGGCCCGATCTCCGACGGTCGAACCGTCGTCGCACCCCTCTTTCAGAGCTCTCCCCTCCTCCTCGGCAGCGGGGGCAGCTGGCCGTCCGAAGGCGTCGCAAGGTGGGCCCCAAGGTCGAGGCTGCTGCTGGCTGCTGCTCGCTGCTGCTGTCTGCTGCTGTCTGCTGCTGGCTGCTGCTCGCTGCTGCTAGCTGCTGCTCGCTGCTGCTGGCTGCTGCTGGCTGCTGCTAGCTGCTGTTCGCTGCTGCTCGCTGCTGCTCGCTGCTGCTTGCTGCTGCTGGCTGCTGCTCGCTGCTGCTGGTTGCTGCTCGCTGCTGCTTGCTGCTGCTTGCTGCTGCTCGCTGCTGCTTGCTGCTGCTGGCTGCTGCTGGCTGCTGCTCGCTGCTGCTGGCTGCTGCTCGCTGCTGCTCGCTGCTGCTCGCTGCTGCTCGCTGCTGCTTGCTGCTGCTCGCTGCTGCTCGCTGCCGCTGGCTGCTGCTCGCTGCCGCTGGCTGCTGCTCGCTGCCGCTGGCTGCTGCTCGCTGCCGCTGGCTGCTGCGGGCTGCTGCTGGCTGCTGCTGGCTCCTGCTCGCTGCTGGGCGCTGGGTGATGGGCGATGGGCGATGGGCGATGGGTGCTGGGTGCTGGGTGCTGGGTGCTGGGTGCCTCCCACGTTACCTGAGCTTCGAAACCTAAAGCCCTGTTACCTGCTGTTGCTGCCTGCTTGGTGCGAGGGGTCAAGGGGGGGTGAGGAGCAGAGGAGGAGGAGTTGGGGTATGAGAGGCGGAAGAGGTAGATAACTACCCCCTTAATGTAATCTCCCCCTTAATAGTGAACGACCATTCAACGAGGAATGCTCGTCATGCATCATCTGTTGAGCCATCAGGGTAAAGCTGTCTTGTTGTTGCAGGCTGCCTCACAATCAAGCGTGATAGGAGTCTAAAGCGTGATAGGCGCCTCAAAACTAAAGCTGGCTTGCTGTTGCAGGGTGCCTCACAATCGAGCTGGAGGCCTGCCGTGCTGCCATGATCCATTCGCGTACTTACCTCATCCTCATGCCGCTTCATCCCCCACGACTCTCCCTCCAATCCCACTGCCTCTCACATGACCCCCCATCAGGCCATGCAGCACGGCAACCTGCCCAGTGCGCGGGCTCGCTTCGCCCTCTCTGCCTCCTCGCTCAAGACCTTCCTCTCCCCGCCCTCCGCTGCTGGTCCTGCTGCTGCTGCTGCTCCTGGCGGCATCAGCAGCAGCACTGCTGCTAATGCGTCTGGGGATCCAGCCGGTATCGCTGTTTCCCCCTCGTCCGTGCTAGACCCAGCAGCAGCAGCGGCGGCAACAGCAGGAGGAGGAGTGGAGGGCACGGAAGCACAGCGGCGTGCGGCGGTGTCGAGGCTGGGAGCTGTGCTGGGCTCGCATGCTGACTGCTGGTGAGTGCCAACGGTCAGCATGCGAGCCCAGCACAGCTCCCAGCAGTCAGCATGCTGCCAACGGTCACCCTCCTCTGCCTCTCTCTCTCCTCTCACGACCTCCCTCCCTCCCTCCCTCCCTCCCTACCTCCCTCCCTCCCTCCCTACCTCCCTCCCTCCCTCCCTCCCTCCCTCCCTCCCTCCCTCCCTCCCTCCCTCCCTCCCTCCCTCCCTCCCTCCCTCCCTCCCTCCCTCCCTCCCTCCCTCCCTCCCTCCCTCCCTCCCTCCCTCCCTCCCTCCCTCCCTCCCTCTCTCCCTCCCTCCCTCCCTCCCTCCCTCCATCCCTCCCTCCCTCCCTCCCTCCCTCCCTCCTTCTCGCACCAGTAGTTCCACACTATCGTTAGGGGCTTTCCTTCATTCAATCGCCCCTTGTTAATTCGCCCTTATTTTGAGTGGACTCAAAAATCGACTCATCACACACCCAGTGCCACACGATTGTTAGGGGCTGTCCTTCATTCAATCGCCCCTTGCCTCCCCGTGGCGCTTTGCCTGTCCTGCTGATCTACCGCCTTCCTCTCTCCTCCTGCTCCCCCCTTCCTCCTGCCCGCCCCGCTGCATCCCGCCAGTCTGCTCATGTCTGACGTGGCATCGGCGGCCAGCAGCTACCAGGAGGCGGTGGATGTGCTCTCTGCTGCTCTTCCCACGCTGCCTGCAGCGGTTGAAGGCGAGGGTGAGGGAGCGGGAGAGGGCGAGGCCGAGGGAGCGGCGGAGGAGGGGCAGGCGCAAGGGGTGGAGCGGCGTGGTGGTGGTAGTGGTGGTGGTGGTGGGAAGTCAGATGGCAGCGCTGTTGACGATGAGGTTGGTGCTTGCTTACAGTCCATTCACCCTGGAATGGGCTCTCAGGGATGTCTCATACGTGTGCACTTGAGATGTGTTTCGGATGTGCAAGTTAGACACTCGGCGCGGTGCTTCTGGAGGATGCAATGCTCAGTACCCTTCTCACTCTGTCCTTGGGTTGTCATGCCTCGTGTCGTGTTTCAGCAATCCGTGCTCTTTCTCCCGACCACCTCATACGGTGTGCCTCCTATTGCTCCCTCGTCTGTCTCTTCCTCCCTTCCCCCTCAATCCGTCCTCGCCCCCCCTCGTCTCCCCCTCGCTTCCAGCTGTGCCACGCGCTGTGTGTGTCGCTCAACAAGCTTGGCGACCTGCACTACCGCGCCAACCGCCTGCCTGAAGCGCTCGCCCTCTACCACCGCGCTCTTGCTCGCAGGCAGCACGCCCTGGCCCGCGCAGAGGCGAGGGGGGGGGACGGCGCAGTGAGGGAGACAGCCAGCAAGGTCAGTAGCACGCTTGACACCTTTCTATTCGGCTTCTGAATGTTGGTCGCTGCCGTGGCTGTTTTTCGCTATCATCAATCGTCATAATCATTCGCCATGACCGTTCAACTTAAGGTCCTCAAGAATTGGACGGGCAAGGGTACAGCCTACAGGGCTGTATTGATGCATGAAGTTTTGCATACCCAAGTTCGCCACCCCAAGTCCGCCACCCCAAGTCCGCCACCCCAAGTCCGCCACCCCAAGTCCGCCAACCCAAGTCCGCCAACCCAAGTCCGCCAACCCGAGTCCGCCACCCCAAGTCCGCCAACCCAAGTCTGCCCCCTCAAGTCCGCCCCCCCAACTCTGGCCCCCCAAGTCCGCCCGCTGAAGTCCCCCCACACCCCACACCCCAGACCCCACACCATCCGTCAAAATCATAACCATATCCATTGGCCCTATCCATCTGCCCTATCCATGCGTCCTACAGGCGGTGGACGTGGCGGTGTCGACAGCCAAGGTGGCGGACGCACAGCAGGCCGTGGGGCAGGAGACGCGTGCCAGGGACGGCTTCACACGCGCGCTGCACCTCCTGCAGGGGGTCAGGGGGAGGCTCACAGCTGCTGCTGCTGCTGGCAGTGGTCAGGAGGTCTGTTTGGCTCTGCTGGAGAAGGTCAGTCGGTTTGAAGTGTAGGGTGTACGGTGTAGGGTGTACGGTGTAGGGTGTACGGTGTAGGGTGTACGGTGTAGGGTGTACGATGTAGGGTGTACGGTGTTGGGTGTACGGTGTTGGGTGTACGGTGTAGGGTGTACGGTGTTGGGTGTACGGTGTTGGGTGTGCGGTGTAGGGTGTACGGTGTAGGGTGTACGGTGTTGGGTGTACGGTGTTGGGTGTACGGTGTAGGGTGTACGGTGTTGGGTGTACGGTGTTGGGTGTGCGGTGTAGGGTGTACGGTGTAGGGTGTACGGTGTAGGGTGTACGGTGTAGGGTGTACGGTGTAGGGTGTACGGTGTAGGGTGTACGGTGTTGGGTGTACGGTGTTGGGTGTACGGTGTAGGGTGTACGGTGTTGGGTGTACGGTGTAGGGTGTACGGTGTAGGGTGTACGGTGTAGGGTGTACGGTGTAGGGTGTACGGTGTAGGGTGTACGGTGTTGGGTGTACGGTGTACGGTGTAGGGTGTACGGTGTAGGGTGTGCGGTGTAGGGTGTACGGTGTAGGGTGTACGGTGTAGGGTGTACGGTGTTGGGTGTACGGTGTAGGGTGTACGGTGTAGGGTGTACGGTGTTGGGTGTACGGTGTAGGGTGTACGGTGTAGGGTGTACGGTGTAGGGTGTACGGTGTAGGGTGTACGGTGTAGGGTGTACGGTGTAGGGTGTACGGTGTAGGGTGTACGGTGTAGGGTGTACGGTGTAGGGTGTACGGTGTAGGGTGTACGGTGTTGGGTGTACGGTGTAGGGTGTACGGTGTTGGGTGTACGGTGTAGGGTGTACGGTGTAGGGTGTACGGTGTTGGGTGTACGGTGTAGGGTGTACGGTGTTGGGTGTACGGTGTAGGGTGTATGGTGTTGGGTGTACGGTGTAGGGTGTAGGGTGTAGGGTGTAGGGTGTACGGTGTAGGGTGTACGGTGTTGGGTGTACGGTGTAGGGTGTACGGTGTAGGGTGTACGGTGTAGGGTGTACGGTGTAGGGTGTACGGTGTAGGGTGTACGGTGTTGGGTGTACGGTGTAGGGTGTACGGTGTTGGGTGTACGGTGTAGGGTGTATGGTGTTGGGTGTACGGTGTAGGGTGTAGGGTGTAGGGTGTAGGGTGTACGGTGTAGGGTGTACGGTGTTGGGTGTACGGTGTAGGGTGTACGGTGTACGGTGTACGGTGTAGGGTGTACGGTGTAGGGTGTACGGTGTAGGGTGTACGGTGTTGGGTGTACGGTGTAGGGTGTACGGTGTAGGGTGTACGGTGTTGGGTGTACGGTGTAGGGTGTACGGTGTTGGGTGTACGGTGTAGGGTGTACGGTGTAGGGTGTACGGTGTAGGGTGTACGGTGTAGGGTGTACGGTGTAGGGTGTACGGTGTAGGGTGTACGGTGTAGGGTGTACGGTGTAGGGTGTACGGTGTAGGGTGTACGGTGTTGGGTGTAGGGTGTAGGGTGTACGGTGTAGGGTGTACGGTGTTGGGTGTACGGTGTAGGGTGTAGGGTGTACGGTGTAGGGTGTACGGTGTTGGGTGTACGGTGTAGGGTGTACGGTGTAGGGTGTACGGTGTTGGGTGTACGGTGTAGGGTGTACGGTGTAGGGTGTACGGTGTTGGGTGTACGGTGTAGGGTGTACGGTGTTGGGTGTACGGTGTAGGGTGTACGGTGTAGGGTGTACGGTGTAGGGTGTACGGTGTTGGGTGTACGGTGTAGGGTGTACGGTGTAGGGTGTACGGTGTTGGGTGTACGGTGTAGGGTGTACGGTGTAGGGTGTACGGTGTAGGGTGTACGGTGTTGGGTGTACGGTGTAGGGTGTATGGTGTTGGGTGTACGGTGTAGGGTGTACGGTGTAGGGTGTACGGTGTAGGGTGTGCGGTGTTGGGTGTACGGTGTAGGGTGTACGGTGTTGGGTGTACGGTGTTGGGTGTACGGTGTAGGGTGTACGGTGTTGGGTGTACGGTGTAGGGTGTACGGTGTAGGGTGTACGGTGTAGGGTGTACGGTGTAGGGTGTACGGTGTTGGGTGTACGGTGTAGGGTGTACGGTGTAGGGTGTACGGTGTTGGGTGTACGGTGTAGGGTGTGCGGTGTTGGGTGTACGGTGTAGGGTGTGCGGTGTTGGCTGTACGGTGTTGGGTGTACGGTGTTGGGTGTACGGTGTAGGGTGTACGGTGTAGGGTGTACGGTGTAGGGTGTACGGTGTTGGGTGTACGGTGTAGGGTGTACGGTGTAGGGTGTACGGTGTTGGGTGTACGGTGTAGGGTGTGCGGTGTTGGGTGTACGGTGTAGGGTGTGCGGTGTTGGCTGTACGGTGTTGGGTGTACGGTGTTGGCTGTACGGTGTTGGGTGTACGGTGTAGGGTGTACGGTGTTGGGTGTAGGGTTGAGCACGGTGGTTGTAGGCGCGGGGAAGGGTAGAGCTTGCTGGCTTGGCGGTGCTTCTTGAGGCGCGTTTGTGTGCGTCATTCAGGTGTAGCAAGGGTGTGGTGTGGATGTCAGGAGCCAGAACTGAGTGAGTTTCCAGCCGTCAGTGGTTACACCTGGTAATGTCTCCCTAGGTCTATGTTATCTCGTAGACTAAGGTGTCTGTTTTAAGATCTGAAACCCTTTCGTGTGCCATGCTGCTCCGTGTTACGCTATTTGTGGTGACTGGGTCGCAGGTGGAAGCAACAGAGGCGTTCCTGCAGCAGCAGCTGGGGGCAGCAACAGGAGCAGGGACAGCAGCAGCAGCGCCGCCGCAAGGAGAGCCAGGTGCCAGGGGATGAGATCGTGCTGGCCTGCAACCCCTGCACCCTGCAACCCCTTCACCCGTCAAGCCGCCAACAATCACCCACCAACTCTTCTGTGGAAATGAAACCCTTGTTTTGAATGGGATTTTGGTGGAATAAACGGCTTAGGGTGCTCATCAATGCATGTACACTTGAGCTACCTAATCAGCGATCCAGTAACATCAGTAACTAACTGGCTGGCTAGCCCAATGTGTGGCACTGGCACGTGTCTGGATCCCTTGCCGTGCAAACACATGGGGTTAGTATTCTTCCCCGATGCACTTCTCATACAGTACTGCTAACTGCTGGCAGAGCAAGTGCCTGGCATATGAACGCAGTCGATCCTCTCAGCTAGCTCAAGCACCGCCCTGCATGCCTCCTGCTCCCAAAGCTTCCCCCCCATGGCCTCGTCCCTTGCATACACCGCCAAGCCCCACGCGAAGCTCTTGGCTCGCGCCGGAGAGAAATTCTCCCCCACAGACACTGGGCTCTCTGCCTCTGCACACCCTGCAGACCCTGCTGGCCCTGCTGGTGCTGATGGCGCTGATCCTGATGACCCAACAGAGGCAGCAGTGAGCTTGGACCTCAACTCGGCCACTGCTGCTGCAATGGCGTCTGGTGACGCGGACTCCAGCCACTGGATCATGGCAGTATGCACCGCCGCATGCGCCGGCGGGGAGGAGGCATCAGGAGAGGCGTCAAAAGCAGGCACGTCTGTTTCCCAGTCGACGGCGGCGATGTCGCTGATGATGGGCTTCACGTTCTCCGTCACCACCGCCACGTGCGCCGGCGACACCGCGTACGCCTGCAGCGCGTCGCGCGACTCGTACCGCCCGATCAGCGCGTGCGTCCACGGGCTCGCGGGCGGTGACGCGGAAGTCGCGCCCGCGGGGACGGCGGGGGCGGCGGGGAGCGCAGGGCCCGCGGAGAGGTAGAGCACGCCGGGCAGGGAGCGGAGGGCGTTGAGGTTGGCGAGAAACGCCGCGACGCGATCGGCGGGGGTGTCGGGCTTGACCTGCGGAGCGGAGGGGAATCAATCGGCGCGTACGGGGAAAAGCGGGGCAACGAGTCAGCGCGGAGGAAGTCGTTTGGGGGAGCGGGATGATGGATAACGGGCATCTGAAGGGGCATGTGGTAACGCTTGTCGGATTCGCCGTCATTCGCCATCGCGCTTTCTGTAGCATGCCGCGGAGTGCGGGTGATCAATCGAGAAGGATAGAGGAGCAGTGGGACGGCGGTCGGTCGTTCCCACCTGGAAGAAGACGAGGTGCTCCACTACGCGCCGCGTGGCCGCCATGGGTCTAGGCTAGGACCTCCTCTCGAAGCTAGATACCTCCTCGAAGTGTAGTGTTGGGAGCACGCGACGTCGGCTCGTCCGTCGGTGCCAGTAGCGGTGTTGACAATCACTCTCGAGAGAGTTGTCTAGATTCTTGCTGCTGTCAGCGGAAGTGTGGACTGACTTGGACACGAATCTCCTCTGGAAATTGTAAGGTGGAAGGGGGAACGAAATGGTTTCCCTGTAACATGTCAACTTGCCCTTAGTTTGGGGGAGATGAGAGTTTGCGACACTCGTTCGCGCATTTTTCCGCCAAACATCTCGCTGTTCTGCGAAGAAGCCAACCAAATGTCACTCCCGTCCAAATTTCACTCACGTCACTCTCAACCCCCTCCACTCCACCTATCCTTGATCTCTTAGAGGGACTCCTCCCCTCACCTTACTTTACCTCCACCTATCCGCCTGTCGCATCACCTGGCCTGGCCACACCTTTCACTGCCCTCTCAACCCCTTCATCGAATCGACGTTCGCGCTCTCTCTCTCCACTTCTCTATAGACCGGGCTGCGCGCGACCGAGCAGGTCCATTCGCAGCAGCGTTTAACGACCGGGCTGCCCGCTTCGTACGCTGCCGCTTCGTACGCTGCCGCTTCGTACTCTGCCGCTTCCCTGTCGTCCGGTCCTTCTGCCTGCTCGGGCTCCTAATTCCCGCGTGAGGCTGCAAGGATTTTATGATAACATACGCCGGGAGTTGAGACGAGAGCGGGCTTGGCGATTTTTACTGATCGATGCTTTTCGGTCTGGCGCGTGATTCGCGCGTGGATGGGGAACTTCCTATCGCGCGACAGAGGGAAGCCAGGTGAGGGGAAGCCAGTCGAGCGGAAGCCGGACGAGCGGAAGCCAGTCGAGCGGAAGCCAGTCGAGCGGAAGCCGGACGAGCGGAAGCCAGTCGAGCGGAAGCCAGTCGAGCGGAAGCCGGACGAGCGGAAGCCAGTCGAGCGGAAGCCAGTCGAGCAGAAGCCAGACGAGCGGAAGCCAGTCGAGCGGAACCCAAGCGCGGGGAAGCGAGTCGAGCAGAAGCCGTACGAGCGGAAGCCAAGCGAGCGGAAGCCGGACCAGTGGAGGCCAGTCGAGCGGAAGCCGGACGAGCGGAAGCCGGACGAGCGGAAGCCGGACGAGCGGAAGCCGGACGAGCGGAAGCCAAGCGAGCGGAAGCCAAGCGAGCAGAAGGCGGACGAGCGGAAGCCGTTTGAGAGGGAGGTGATCGAGAAGAATCCGTTCTTGCGAAGCTGCGGCGGAGACTCGGGCAAGGCGCTGCCGCGGATCGAACGGCCGGCGATCCCTGAGGAGAACGCGGAGGGGCGCGGATCGGGGGAACGAGGAGAGGTTGGCGCGGCGGAGATGGCGGAAGCAGTCCGCGGGGAGGAAGGGGCAAGGATCGCACGCGCGGAGCAGGAAATGGACGTAACGGCGGACGTGAAAGGCACGGTAACGGGCGATGCGGTGATGGTTGGGAGGGACGTGGAGGAAAGGAGAGGAACGGCGGAAGAGAGGGGGGAGGGTGGGGGAGAGGAGGCGGAAAGGCAGGCTGACGGGGGGAAGGCGGAAGGGGAAGAAGCGGGGGAGGCGATGTTGGCGCAGGAGGGAGCAGCGGGAGCAGAGGAGGGAGCAGAGGGGGCAGAGGGGGCAGAGGGAGCAGAGGGATCAAAAGAGGGAGCAGAAGGAGCAGAACGGGGGGCAGAGGGAGCAGGGCGTGAGGAGAAGGAATGGTGGGGACAAGGGGACTTGCGAGGTGGAGTGAAGGGCGAGAGGGCTTCAGGGTGTGCAGCGGGGGAGGAGGCCGACATGGTGGTGGACGGAGCACGAGACGAGCCGAACGCAGAGGAAGAAGTGCGGGAAGGGCTGCAGGAGGGGCAGCAGGAGGTGGTGCAGCAGCAGCAGCAGGAGGAGGAGCAGCAGGAGGGGGGGGAAGAGAGACAGCAAGAGGGGCAGCAGGAGGATGCGGTTGCTGCTGGGGTGGTGAATGAAGTGCTCGAAGCAGGGAGAGAAGTGGAAGGGGAGGGAGATGAGAGGCAGGCAGGAGAGGGGGAGGAAGGTGATGGGAGAACCGGCGGGCGCGAGAATGAGCTATCACTCGACCCAGAACACCAAGACATGGGCGAAAGGGGATTCGGTGGAGGTGTGCGCGAACAGGGCGAGGCCGACAATGAGGAAAAAGGTGGGACAGGGAGCGAGGGAGAAAGGGAGAAGGGGAAGGAAGGCGAGGGGGAGTCGTCGGATGGGAAGGCAGAGGAGGAGGGAGCGGACGAGGGGGTGGCAGTGGCAGTGGGAGAGCAGGTGGCGGGGAGCGGGGGGGGGAAGAAGCTGCTGATTCTGGACGTGAATGGGCTGCTGGTGGACACGTGCTATGTCAAGGACGGGGCGGCGCCGGGGGCAAGGCAACCTGATGGCCGTGCCAACAACTTCTATGGTGCGCGGCTGTCAGTGCAATCACTGCTTAGGCCTTTTGATCTCAGCCCTCAGCCCTCTCCCCTCACCCTTCACCCGGCACCCCGCCCTCCCCCCTCAATTCTCGGGCCATTGGTATCTTCGAGGCAGCTGCTGCACATCCAATGTGCGTCCCCTCCTCCCCCTCTTATCCCATCCGCCACCCTGTCATGCAACTTTCCCCAACAGTGTACCGGCGTCCGTTCTGCGAGGAGTTTGCTCGCTTCTGCCTCGACAACTTTGTGGTTGCCGTGTGGTCGTCCTCACGCATGTAGGTGGGGGGCAGGGGGCATGTGGCCGGGGGCTGGGGGGGCAGGGGGCATGGGGTATCCAGCATGTGTGGGGAATTGGAGGAGTTTCATGACTGATGGATGGAGCTTACATGCATGCACTGGTGGCCCACCATGCACGCGTGCCAACCGTTCCATTGCATGGATGGCTGTCTGCATGGTGCAATGCAAGTAACCCTGGCCTCTACGTGCCCTGCTCCTCTCCGTTCGTCCCCTCACTCATCCCCCTCTCTCTCCCACCCATCAGGTACAACGTGTGTGCGCTGCTGTCCTTTGTCTTCCCACAGGAGCGCCAGGGGGAGATCGCCTTCATCTGGGTAAGCAAGCAAGCCGCATGCGCAGCGCCAGGCTTACGTCACATATTGCTGCTGCTGCCCTGCCACAGCAAGTCACATGCTGTTTGTCTGGTCTGATGTAGCGTTCTAGGCTGTACCACGTTTCTACTCTAGGCGCCCACATCATTGTAGGCTTCTATAGACACGTTGTAGGATTTTCTGTTCACCTGTCCACTGCCGACTGCCGAAATTGCTTCCTCGTCTATTTCATTTTGCCCAGTAATAAAAATGAGCTATTTCCTCTCCTCTTTCCTTTTGTTGCACAAAAGAAAAATCTCGCCCTGCCCGTCCATCCCGTCCTCTATCCATCACCACCACCACCACCACCACCACCACCACCACCACCACCACCACCACCACCACCACCACCACCACCACCACCACCACCACCACCACCACCACCACCACCACCACCACCACCACCACCACCACCACCACCACCACCACCACCACCACCACCATCACCACCACCACCACCACCACCACCACCACCACCACCACCACCACCACCACCACCAACCAACTATCCCCACCACCCCGGCAACAACAACATGGCACAATGGCACGATGGCACGATGCTACCAGGACCAGACGCGGTGCACGAACACGGGCATGAAGCACCCGGCCAACCGCCACAAGCCCATCTTCCTCAAGGAGCTCAGCCACGTGTGGGGCAACGTGCACCACGACATGCCCTGGCCGCCCGCCACCTACGGCCCCGCCAACACGCTGCTGCTTGACGACTCGCCGTATAAGGCCGTGCTCAACCCGGTCAGTGGTGGAGTGCGGTTGAGAGGAGTAGTAGTAGCAAGCTGGTTCCGTCCGCACCTGTTCCTTCCTAATCCGGAATTTCTTTACACTGCTACTTGGCTCAACGTTCTTTCCGTGCCGTGCACCCTCTGCTGTTTATTCCAAGTTCTCCAATGCTGTGGTTTGGTTTCCCTCAAGTCAACCGTTCCTCTATCGATCTCCATCCCCAACCCCCACGTTCCTTCCCCTGTTGCTTTGTTACAGGAGCACACATCCATTTTCCCACCAACCTACCATCTCACCGACACGCTCGACGACGCACTAGGTAGGCAGCTCTTCTCCCCCAGCTCTGAATGCCCTGTGTTTCTCCTGCCTCTTTACGCCTACTCTCTACCTCGGGGGTTCGAACGCTCGTTTTATCAACTCGTGGCCTGGCTCGTCCTGTTGTCCCCGCCCTTCGTATCTTGCAACGACCAGATGCATGTGGAGTGGGGCGAGGCGCTCCTTTACCCATGACATTTCTAATGCCTTCAATCTCCAGAGTCCTTGCACGTCTTTGCCCTGTCAAACCATTGGGAAAGCACTCAGGGTGGTGGCAAACCATGCATCCCTGTCTTCCTTCCCCCCAATGCATCCCCCCCATGCATCCCCCCCATGCATCCCCCCCCATGCATCGCCCCCCAAGCATCCCACTCCGAGTGGTGGCGAACTACTGGAAAATCACTCAGCGTCGTGGCTAACCACTGAAAAAGGTGGTGCCACCACTCTAGGTCCTCTCCCTGCAGCACTTCGCTGCTCTCTTCTCCCCCCCGTTCTTCCCCCCGCCCCCCCCCCAATCTTTCACCTCCGTTTTTCTGCCCCTTCACACCCATGCCCCCCCCCCCCCCTCCCCCAGCACCCTCCGGTTCTCTGCGCACGTACCTATCGGGGCTAGCAGCAGCAGCAGATGTGCCCTCCTTTGTGCGCAGCAACCCCCTGGGCCTGCCCCCTGTGAGGGTCGCTCAACTGCAGGACCTGCTCCTCCTGCTCCGCCCGCCTTCCCCTCCCTCGCTTGCCGCCGCCGCTCCCCCTCGTGGACCTTGGAACCGTGGCACTCTCCTCCCTGCTCCTGCTGCTGCTTCTGCTGCTGCTGCTGGTGCTGGTGCTGGTGCTCCTTGGAAGGGGGGCAGTGCTGGTGGGTTTGGTGCGATTGGAAATGGTGCAGGTGGGCTGGGAGGGGCGGCAGCCGGGCAGAAGAGGAAAAAGAAGCAGAAGAAGGCGAAGAAGAAGAAAAAGAAGAAGCAGGTGGGGGCAGGGGGGGTGCAGGGGGGCGAGAAGGAGATTGGAGAGGATGGGAAGGTGGGTGAGATAAATGAGATGAATGGGGGAGAAAGTGGAGTGGTTGAGGCAGAGGGACGGAGAGTAGATGTGTCTGAAGGAGAAGAAGAGGAGGAGGAAGATGAGGAGGAGGAGGGAGGGGATGAGGAGGATGCGGAGGAGGAGGAGCAAGAGGGGGGGGATGGGGATGGTACTAAGGGGATTGAAAGTGCTGCTGGTGCTGGAGCGCCTTCTGTTCCCACCACTGCTAATGCTCTTACCGGTGCCAATTCTGTGCCTATCCGGACAGTCCCTGTTAGCCATAGTCGCTGGGACCAGAAGCAAGGCTGCTTCTCTGCTTCCTCTGGTCATGGTGGCTGGTCTGCTTCTACTCCTGGCGGTGCTGCTGCTGGTGCAGCTGGTGGTTCTGCCCTCCCCACGGGCCCTCTGCCTGTGACTGCTAGTATGGTTGCTCCCGTGAATGAGAGACAGCAGCAGCAGTGGCCGCATGCAAGTGGTGAGTGGCGAGTAAGGAGTAGTGGGTGGGATGTGCAGCCGGCGGGTGGTCAAGTGGATAGTGAGCAAAGTAGGAGCGTGGGTATGCTGGCAGCTGGGAGGAATGGCGGGGCAGTTATCCCATGGAATGCATGGCAGCTGCAGCAACAGCAGCAACCACAGCAACCGCAGCAGCAGCAGCAGTATCCTAATCAGCAGCAGCAGTATCCTAGTCAGCAGCAGGAGCAGCCTTATCCTAATCAGCAGCAGCACCTCCCTCAGCCTTACACTGCTGCTCCTAACACCGTACCTTTGCCATTCCTCCCCCGCGCACCCGTGCAACCCCCCACACAACCACAACAGGCCCCACCCCAGCAACCCCTGGGTCCGCCCCACCCGTTCCTCCCCCAACCGCCTCCCTTTTCCCCCTCTCCCGCCTTCCCCTTTGCACTTCAACCTGGGCCGCCCCTGGTGCCGTTCCCCCCCGGTCAGGGCTATGGGTATGGCTATGGGCAAGGGGGAGGGTATGGAGGGGGAGCAGCAGGAGTGGCAGGTGCTGGTGGCTTTCCTCCTGCTCCCCCTGGCCCCACTTCCCAGGGGGGCAGTGGTTGGCAGGAGCACGGTGGGTATGGGGGTACGGTAGGGTGGCAGGGACCGGGTCGGGGAGGGGGGGCAAGGCAAGGGCAACAGGGTGGGAGGGGAGGTGGGCGGTATGGAGGAGGTGGGTGGAGGGGGGGAGGGGAAGGTAACAGGCGAGAGTACCAGCAACAGCGGCAGGCGCAGCAGCAGAATGGGAGGTGGGACAGGGACAGGAGGGACAAGTGGGGATGATGATTGTGCTGTGCTGCTGCGCCTGTCGTGCGACAGATAATCTGTGTCAAATGCCGGTAGCTGTAGTAGGGCATATGGAGCAGTCGTGTGTGGGTTGGGTTCGCATTGCATGGGAATGGGTTCATGGCGTCTATCGTTGAATTGACACTTTAATCAAATCAGGTGGAGGGAGAATCTAATCCAGCAAGGCCACACACCCATCCTAAGCTGCTTGGCACAGTGTTCAGCAGCTAGTAGCACACTTGTGCTGTTACACCCTCATACCCTGTTACTGCAGCCTCCCACTTATGTCTCCAGGCACACCAGGATGCCAAATGTACAATTATTAACTACAAGACACTCAGGAAAAAAACAGGAGCACAAGCACGTGCAATAACCCAGTTCAGCCTGTCCCAAGCATACCCCCCCTTGAGCATACACCATGGTCCATGCCACTCCATGAGTCAGTGAGTAGCACGGTCACTCCACCTTCCTACGGCCCTGCAGAATCCCATTGGCCTTAGCATGGGTGCCCGGCATGGCAGGGGAGAGAGAGCCGTTGATGGGGGAGGAGTGAGGGGAGGTCTCAAGAGGTGGCAGTGGGGGGATGTACTTGAGCCCCACTAGGTCGGCCACTTCGTCCAGCACCTGCAGAGAGAGGGAGGGGGGAGGGGAGATGGAGCACATCTCAGCAAAGAGAGGGAGGGGCGGAGGGAGAGCAACGAGGGGAGTGGGAAAGGGCGGGCGGGGGGGGGGGGGGGGGTGGGGGAGGGGGTGGTGCACATCTCAGCATTAGCAGCTCCCCTGTCAATCCCCAAAAGCGGAGAGTGAGAGAGGGACGCAGCAGGTGTGCTCTGGACTCACCTTGAGAGCATACTGGAGATCGGCGCGGGTGTGAGCAGCCGAGATGCAGATGCGGGCGCGGCCCAGCAGCACAGGCGTGGCCGGGAACCCCACCACCACCACGGCCACCTACAGACAAAAAACAACGCACGCACGCACGCACCCACACACACACACACACACACACACACACACACACACACGCACACACACACACACGTATGGGGGGAGATGCCCAAGGGTTGTAGTTTGTTGGACGGAGGGAGGGAGATCACAAAAAGGGTATGCTGACGCAGAGAGAACGAAGCAGACGGTGAACTTACTTGGCGCTTGAGGCATTCGCGGGAGAAGGCGGCGAGTTTGCCCGGGTGGTAGATCATGATGGGCATGACGGGCGAGTCCTCATCGCCCAGCACCTCCAGCCCCAGGCGCTGCAGCTCGCCGCGGAACCAGTTGCAGTTGTCCCGCAGCTGCGCTAGCTTCTCCAGGCCTAGGCACAGGCGGACAGAGAGACACAGGAGGACGGAGGGACATGGATGAAGGGAGGGACGTTCAAGAGAGCTTGTGTTTGTGAGGGGGGGTTATTTTACACACGGATCAGCTGCTCCCATGTAAATGCGGGATCAGTGAGGTTGGAGTTGCTCTGACATGGCACGGGCTTGCAGCAGCAGATGTGAGAGAACCGCGCACCCTCATGAAGGCAGTGGGCGTGGGGAGCAGCGCCTGCATCTGCACCTGCACCTGCACCTGCACCTGCACCTGCACCTGCGCATGCGACACACCTCTGGAGGAGCCGTCGTCGCCCAGCAGCAGCTTGAGCGCGGAGAGAATCTGCTGCACCGCTGCTGGCGCCATGGCCGTTGCGTACAGGTGCCCGGGACTCGTGCTCCTCAGATACGCTATCAGCTCCTGGTGAAAAGGGGAGGCCGGGGGGGGGGAGGGGGGAGAGCGGGGGAAGAAGTGAGGATGAAATGCTTGGGAAGAGGAGGATGCGGGATGCAGTGGTACGTTCACCACGGAACAAGCAGGAGGCGTAGGAAAGGAGGCGAGGCCACTAAGGGAAGGAGCAGTGCTGACCTTAGACCCCGCAATGTACCCCCCGCAGGAGCCAAAGGACTTGGTGAAGGTGCCCATAAGCACGTCCACGTCTGCTGGGTCCACGCCCGTGACCTCGCACACGCCGCGCCCCGTGCGGCCCAGGGCGCCGATGCTGTGCGCCTCGTCCAGGAAGAGGTAGGCCTTGTACTTGCGCTTGATCTCCACTATCTCGGGCAGGCGGCAGATCTCGCCCTCCATGCTGTAGATGCCCTCCACCACTATCAGCACCTTCTTCCACGGCCGGTGCGTGCGCGGCTGGCCTTCCGCTATCGCCGTGCGCAGTACCTGCTCCAGGTTCTCCGGCACTAAAGGGGCGGGGGGGTGGGGGAGGAGGTGGGGGAAGATAGATCATAGACTTGACTTGAACACGGTTTGGATGGGCAGTTGAGAGGTAGGCAATAAAGCAGTATGTTGAACAGCAAAAGAGCAAAAGAACAGCCGGAGCAGCGGGAAATGGGGAATGGCGGGGGAGGGGAGGTGGAGGAGAGTGCTGAGGCGCGCAGGGCGGCATACCGTTGTGCTGAAAGACTTTGATGCCGGCACCAGAGGCACGGGCTCCAGCAATGAGGCTGCAGTGGTTGAGTGAGTCACTGATGATCAGACTTCCCTGCACGCAAACGAGAGGCAGCAGCGTAACAGCAACACCAATAAAAAAGGGAGAAATGTCTTTCTCAGCCTGTCCATGCCCTTTTCCTGATGAAGCAAGACGAGAGGTGAGGAGTGAGTGGCAGGTGCAGCCGCACCTTGCCGACGAGCGCAGGCAGCGTGAGGGAGTTGGTGGCGAAGCCCATGCCGTAGACCATGGCGGATGGCTTGCCTATGAACTCCGCCATGTAATGCTCCAGCTCCTCGTGCACCCGCGTTGTGCCTGCCACCCCCGCACCACACCGCACGCATGATAGGGGGGGTGAATAGCTGCCATGGGTGGCTAACACACGTGGCTCGAGCAATGTGGCCGGGCACCGTTGGTTTGCAACAGGGGGTGGCTAAAGTAGTGTGGGAATGGTTCTTCCATGGTTCTTCCTACCCGCGTCAGTGCGGCTGCTGCAGGTGCTGGAGCCATACTGCTTGAGGGACTCCTCTGCCCGTGGCGTGCAGTAGGGGTCAGGAGCACCAAAGCCGAGGTAGTTGTACGACCCCAGGTTCAGGCACCGCACAGTCGAGTCCTTGCGCCTGCCATAAGCCACAAGGGACAGGAGCAATATGACGTATGCAATATGACGTATGCAGTGTGACGTATGCCATGGCAGTCCGCCGTGTTGGAATGAGGGAGATACGACAGGGAGAAATGCGGCAGGGGGGGAGGGGGGGGGGGAGGGGAAAGAACTCGCATCGCGTCCCAGGCAACAATGTGTCATGCTGTGACACTTCAATGACAGAAGAGCCTTTGGAATATGTTACATGCGGAATGCGCCACAGTACGCACGCAATATGGCCAGCTTGGAGCGGCACTCACACAAGGGTTTGGTTCTTATCGTACGAAACCCTGTTGATCACGTCGATCCACGCATCAGGCGCGCTGGCTATGGGCCGGTTCCAGCAGTCCTGCAACAGACAGGCCCACGAGCGATCGTACGAATCAGCCAAGAGCGTCTGAGTCGTGACGATCAGCTACCGTACGTTCTAAAGCAGGTTCAACATTGCAATGGACTCGGCTTGACAGCTGTTCGTGAATCATTCAGACGCGAGAAATATGGAGCTCGAACCTGAAGGCGGTAGTAGAAACGGCGCGTGTAGAAGTCTTCAAAGTCTCGACACAGGGGTGCATAGCCCTGCGAGAAACGGAACGAACAGGGGGGAACAGGTCAGGCACGCCGACAGACAGCCAGCATGGACCAAACGAGGATACAGGGTCCTTGCAAGACGTGGACGGTGCTGCTTACGAAGTGCAGCAGCGAGAGCATCGCGGGACAGCCAAGCACATGCATGGCGGGCTCGCGAGCTTCGATAGAAGCCTGTGGTGACCACCTTGTGGACAGCGCGGACTCGCTTGCGACCAGTGTCACCATTTCCCCGTGATCGACCTCTCACTAGCTCTCGTACTGGACACCGTTCTTGCAGTCAGCAGAGTTGCAGTCTTTTCTTGAGCCTTTTTTTTTTTTTACCTACAACCCCGCAGTCAGCATGTGGTGAATAATGCTTCTCGCAACCTACTCCTTGCGCTTCGAACAAACGCAAAGCCGCTGCATTCCGTCATTGTCACTACGTCGCGGGGGATCCGACAATAGGTTCTGCTATCAGGCAGCATTTTCGCCTTTCCAATGCGTTTTCGTCACGCTGACAGCCTCGAAAACCCACCTTCAGGCTTTCTTTCAACTGCGGAAGAAGCGAGCGGAAGGTGTCTCGGATATGGCCGAAGAGGAATAGGAAACCATAGCTGATGTACGTCGTGAGAGCCGCGAAGTACGGAATATGAAGCGTCATGGCCACCTCGCGAGTTCGACGACGGTTTCCCGAACAACTCAGTCACGCTACTGAGCCCGTACCAGCGCCAACACCCGCTAACGCATCAGCCTATGCCTGCTAGAGATGCCGGACACGGATATCACTAAGCCAGAAGACAACGACGATTCATGCCCGGTTCGGAGCATCCGAGGCGAGCTGGCAATTCCTCAAGTAGACCCAGCAGTGTGACACCCAGCTAGTCCCTCCACCAACTTCACCCTTCACCCATGCAACAAGCTTTCCAGCTGACAGAATGTAGGCCAGCAAGAAAGCTATGGCTTGTGGAGCGAGGGAGGGAGGCGAGGGAGGGGAGGGTCAGAGGGAGAAGAGGAGGGAGGGAGGGATGGTTGGATCCGTCGCATGGCGGGACACGTCACTCGCGGGAGGCTCTGCGAAAATTCGCCAGGTTGCTTCGTCGTCGCATAGCGAGCGCGCTCTGAGACATTCCCAAAGGTGCGACGCATAACAGAAGTTGGTAACGTTACGCTGCCGGCATAACATTGCGATTTTCTGGGAAACTCTTTATACATTTGTAGCTATCACAAACTCAGAAACTGTAGAAATATGTGCCAGGCAAGTCTGAGAAACTGTAATGTACAGTTTCATATACATGAAATGTATGGTCCGTATTTAGCTGTCCCCGACCCAATTTGAATTGCAAACACTGATATGCACTCCCCAACTTTTATGGACCACAATTCAGGTAGGCAAGAAATCTGTAGTGTCTCCTCCAACTCCAACGAATGTGTATATAGGCATGCTCTGTAGCTTCTGTTGAAAGGAGTTAAGGAACTAGCTAGGCATGAGAATGGCAGGAGGTTTTAGCTATGGAGAAAAGTGACGAGAGAAAAAGGGGTTGGCCTAGAAGAGATAGGAAAACAAGAAGGTGTCAACTTATACATATGCTGTATGTACATGTTATAGGCTAGCCTAGGTGTGTGCTTCTAGTCAGTACAACCCCAACAGGTACATGTTCTAGGTTTCTCACACTAGTCCATTCATTCTCTCTTTCTAACATAATATCATGAGTAGGTTCGGTTCCTCTCGCCCGCCCACGCTTCCGCCCTAGGCTCTAGCCGCCCTCGTGACCCGTCCCTAGCTGGCCCCCTCCCCCCTGGCCATCCCGTCCGCCCCTAGCCGGCCCCCTGGCCGTCGCGCCCGCCCCTAGCTGGCCCCCTGGCCGTCGCGTCCGCCCCTAGCCGGCCCCCTGGCCGTCGCGTCCGCCCCTAGCCGGCCCCCTGGCCGCCGCATCCGCCCCTAGCCGGCCCCCTGGCCATCGCGTCCGCCCCTAGCCGGCCCCCTGGCCGTCGCGCCCGCCCCTAGCTGCCCCCCTGGCCGTCGCGTCCGCCCCTAGCCGGCCCCCTGGCCGTCGCGCCCGCCCCTAGCTGCCCCCCTGGTCGTCGCGTCCGCCCCTAGCCGGCCCCCTGGCCGTCGCGCCCGCCCCTAGCTGGCCCCCTGGCCGTCGCGTTCGCCCCTAGCCGGCCCCCTGGCCATCGCGCCCGCCCCTAGCCGGCCCCCTGGCCGTCGCGCCCGCCCCTAGCTGGCCCCCTGGCCGTTGCGTCCGCCCCTAGCCGGCCCTCTGGCCGTTCGCGCCCGCTCCTAGCCGGCCCCCTGGCCGTCGCGCCCGCTCCAAGCCGGCCCCCTGGCCGTTCGCGCCCGCTCCTAGCCGGCTCCTCCTAGCGCCCGCCCGGCCCCCTCTACCGCCTGCCCGGCCCCTCCACAACGCCTGCCCGGCCCCTGCTAGCGCCCGCCCGGCCTGTTGCGCCCGCCCATCCCACACCGCCCGCCCAGCCCCACCCAGCGCCTGCCCGGCCCCGATACGCCTGCCCGGCTCCTGCGACTCCGTGTCTTCTGCTCGGCACGGTTCCTCGGGTCTCTGGCCTCGTGTCTTCTGCTTGCCAGCGCTGGATCGTCCTGCAGACGTCCCCCTGGAGCTGTGCTGCTGTGTCCCTGTGCCGCTGTGTCCCAGTGTCGCTGACCCTGCACGATGGCTGACTTCGTACTCCACCTGGACGCTGAGGGCCATGCTGTTGACTTCGCCGCCTGGCTGTCCGATCTCTGCCGTTAACTCACAGGTCAGCGCCAGGATGGGCACTCCTTGGTTCTCCATACTGATGGCCTTCTCCCGGTTCCCCCCTCCTTGTTCCTGGCTCCCTCTCTCCCGGTAGCCCCTGCTCCCCTCCCGCCTCGTCCTGCCCCGTCTGGTGTCTCCCATGTCACTCCCCTCCCGTCGGTTGTCCCTGTTGAGGAGACTGCTGACTTTGGTGGTCCCCTCGGCCTGTCCTTGCCGCGTCCCCCTTCCCCGGTGTCTCCGCCTCCGCTGTCGCAGCCGCCGCCGCCGTCGCCGCCGCTGCCGCTCCTGGCCTCTGGGGGTGCTGGCGTTGAGGAGGGTGTTCGTTCAACGGCCCCTGGCGTGGTGTGTCCCGGCAGGCCTGGGGGTGCCGCCGGTGCTGGAGGGGGTTCTCGCTCTAGGGGTGCTGCTCTTGAGTTTTCTCCCAGCGGCCGTCGTGCCCTTGCCGGTCCGCGGGTCGAGCACCAGCCACCGCAGCAGCCACCGCAGCCGTCGCCGCCGGTCTCCGCTCTTCGCCTGCTCGGCCTTCCCTCCTCCGACCGCTCGCCGGTGTCTCCTCCACCACCTTCTCACCTTCCTATCTCCGGCCCTGTGTTCCCACCGCCGGACTCGTCTCCGGCCCGTCTTCCTCCTCGTTCCCCTTTTGTGTCCCCTCCGCTGTCTCCTGACCCTACACCTCCGTCCCACGTTTGGTCTCGCCGTCCCTCCCGTGCTCATCCCGTCTCTCCTGTCCTGCGCTCCCACCCTATGTTGCTCCGTTCCCACTTGTCTCGTCCTCTCCTCCTCCCGTCGCCTCCTCCCTCGTCGTTTGTTGTTGCACCTCCCCCGCTGTCTGACTACCTCCGTGCCGCTCGTCCCCTTGTCCCTCGGGTTCTTGCCTCTCTTGTTACAGACCCGTGTGTTCCTGTCTCGCGCCTTGACGCGCTTGTCGCGGCTTTCGCTGAATTCGCCTCTACCCGCCGCCTTGACTACGCTACCACTGTGGTCTCTGACCCTGCCCGTCCTCCGTCCGTCGGGGGTGCACCTGCCCTTGGTAGTGACGTTCTAGAGGACCGGCATTACGAGCTTGCTTTCCTTTCCGAGGCCACTCCCTATCTCTGCTCCATGCTCCTAGTCCCAGAGGGTGACCCAGACGCCTTCGACATCCCGACCCCTCGCACTTACGCTGAGGCCACCTCGGGACCTTGGGCCTCTCAGTGGATAGCTGCCATGGAGCAGGAGATGGCATCTTGGAGGTCCACCGACACTAACGTCGACGTAGTTCCCCCGCCTGGGGTGAACGTAGTCGATAGTCGGTGGCTCTTCAAGGTGAAGCGCCCCCCTGGAGAGCCACCTGTCTTCAAGGCGCGCTACGTGGCCAGAGGCTTCAGCCAGCGCGAGGGTGTTGACTTCTTCCAGACCTTCGCCCCGACCCCAAAGATGACCACGCTTCGGGCGCTGCTATACGTAGCAGCACAACGCGATTACGAGCTTCACTCCATCGACTTCTCTACTGCCTTTCTTCAGGGCAGCCTACACGAGCAGGTCTACCTGCGCCGACCACAGGGCTTCACTGGTACCTTCCCCCCTGGGACCCAGTGGCTTCTCAGGCGCTTGGTCTATGGCCTGCGCCAGGCTCCCCGTGAGTGGCACGACACGCTGCATGCCACGCTAGCAGACCTGCAGTTCTTTCCGTCCTCTGCTGACCCCTCGCTATTTGTGCGTTCCGGCCAGACTCCGTTCTACATCCTTGTCTACATAGACGACCTGGTCTTCGCTACTGCTGACAGGGACGCACTGGCCTCCGTGAAGGCGGAGCTGCTGAAGAGACACACCTGCACTGACCTTGGAGAGCTGCGTCATTATCTTGGCCTGCAGATCTCTAGGGACAGAGCAGCATGCACCATCACTCTGACACAGTCGTACTTGGTGCGTCAGGTCCTTCAGAGGTTCGGTCTTCAGTTCTCCTCCGCACAGCCTACTCCTCTACCTGTAGACCATGGGCTCTCCGCTCCCGTTCCTGAGGAGCCAGTAGAGCCCAGCGGCCCCTACGCAGAGCTGGTGGGTTGCCTCATGTACCTGATGACTTGCACTCGCCCAGATCTCGCATACCCTCTCAGCATCCTGGCTCGCTTTGTGGCCACCGGCAGACACCGGCCACAGCACTGGTCGGCCGCTAAGAGGGTTTTGCGATATCTAGCAAGTACATCAGGCATGGGGTTAGTGTTAAGATTATATAAGTTATATATAATTGATAGGCTTGATAGTTGTTACTGAACCTTGCTGTAGAGGGTACAATCCCCTCCTTGTACCCCTCTCTCTTTCTAATCGATTCCCTTTTCTCTTGACACTTTCCTCCCCTAACTAAACCTCTGGCCGCCATTTCATGGCGGCCTTTCTTCCTAGTTAAGCTAGCATTCAGACATGGTTTCAGAGCAGGCTGTCCGTCCCGGGCCTGCTCACTACGTTTCCGCTGCGCACTCCTGCTGCGTTTGCCGCCTTCGCGGCTTCTGCCTGCTTGCCGTCGTGGCACCAAGATGTCGCGGCGGCCCCTTGATGCTGCCGTCCCGAGCTCGACGAGCAGCTGCTGCTCCGACGCCACGCTGCTGTGGCGTCATTCTGGTGCCGCGGCGGTGTCGTCGAGCTGCAGCCGCCGAGTTTCAACTCCGCAGCTGCTGGACGTGCAGCGCGTCCGCCCGCCAGTAAGCGCCACGCCTATGGTGCCGCGCTGAAGTCTTGCAGCCCCACCACAGCAGCCCCCCCCCATTCTTCCCTTCCTCCTGTCGCAGCTGCTGTCTTCTGCCCGGACGTCGCCACACCGCCGAGAGCCCTCAGTCGCAGCAGTCGCCACCTGCCGTCAGCGACACAGCCGCCTTGAGCAAGAGCTCCGCCGCTGCTTGTTGCTCAGCTGCCCAGACGCCGTAGGCTGCCTCTCGCCCGGGGGTGTCAACGCTTAGCACGAGGGTCAGATACCCGGCTAAGCACGAGCTTGAGGGTGTGCGGGGTTAGGGGGTGTGTTGGGTGGGTGTGTGACTACCAAGCCTAGGGGGTGTGCTAAGATTATATAAGTTATATATAATTGATAGGCTTGATAGTTGTTACTAAACCTTGCTGTAGAGGGTACAATCCCCTCCTTGTACCCCTCTCTCTTTCTAATCGATTCCCTTTTCTCTCGACTCTTTCCTCCCCTAACTA